TGGAGCCCGTGGCTGGCTGTATATGCAGGTCTGGGAACATGGATGGTGAAACGCTGCTACACCTGCTCTGCGAGGGGCATGTCCACAACCCCAGAGCTCCCAGCCCAAAGCCCGGCTCCCCTGGCCTAGGGCGCTGGCCTTGCTCCTGGGCACCTCGCCAGGTGAACATCAGCTCGTGGACTGAGAGTGCTGTGTGTGTCTGTGTGCGTGTGGGGTCACTGTGTGTATCGGGAGGGGGTGTTGCAGTGCCTGTGTGTGTCTGTGTGCATGTGGGGTCGCTGTGTGTATCGGGAGGTGGTGTTGTGGTGCCTGTGTGTGTCTGTGTGCGTGTGGGGTCACTGTGTGTATCGGGAGGGGGTGTTGTGGTGCCTGTGTGTGTCTGTGTGCGTGTGGGGTCACTGTGTGTATCGGGAGGGGGGTTGTGGTGCCTGTGTGTGTCTGTGTGCGTGTGAGGTCACTGTGTGTATCGGGAGGGGGTGTTGTGGTGCCTGTGTATGTCTGTGTGCGTGTAGGGTCACTGTGTGTATCGGGAGGGGGTGTTGCAGTGCCTGTATATGTGTCAGGGTGTATGTCAAGGATCACTGCATGTATCTGTGTGTGTGTGTGTTGCAGTTTGTGTGTGTGTGTGTGTCTCAGGGTGACATCAAGGATCACTGTGTGTATCTGGAGGGGTTGTTGCAAAGTGTATGTTGTGTTAGGGTGACATCAGGGATCAGTGTGTGTATCAGGAGGGAGTGTTGCGATGTGTGTGTTGTGTCAGGGTGTAGTCAAGGATCACTGTGTGTATCTGGAGGGGTTGTTGCAAAGTGTATGTTGTGTTAGGGTGACATCAGGGATCAGTGTGTGTATCAGGAGGGAGTGTTGCGATGTGTGTGTTGTGTCAGGGTGTAGTCAAGGATCACTGTGTGTATCTGGAGGGGGTGTTGTGGTGCCTGTCTGTGTGTCGGGGTGATGTCAAGGATCAGTATGTGTAATGGTTGAGGGTGATGCGGTGCCCGTGTCGGTGTGACAGCAAGGATCACTGTGTGTATCTGGAGGGGTTGTTGTGGTGTCTGTGTGTGTGTGTCTGGGTGATGTCAAGGATCACTGTGTGTATTGGGAGGTAGTGTTGTGGTGCCTAGGGTGTGTCAGGGTGTATGTCAAGGATCATTGTGTGTATCAGGAGGGGTGTTGTGGTGCCTATGTGCGTATGGGGTTGCTGTGTGTATCTGGAGGGGTTGTTGTAGTGTCTGTGTGTGTGTGTCAGGATGACAGCAAGGATCACTGTGTGTATCTGGAGGGGATGTTGCGGTGTTTTTGTGTGTGTCGGTGTGATGTCAAGGATCAGTGTGCATATTGGCAGGGTGATTGCAGTGCCTGTGTGTGTGCTGGGGTGACATCAAGGATCACTTCGTGTAACAGGAGGAGTTGTCGCGGTGTCTGTGTGTGTGACAGGGTGATGTCAAGGATCAGTGTGTGTATCTGGAGGGGTGTTGCGGTGCCTGTGTGTGTGTCGGGGTGACGTCAAGGATCGGCGTGTGTATCGGCGCGGTTGTTGCGGTACCTGTGTGTGTGTCAGGGTGACGTCCAGGATCAGCGTGTGTATCGGCGGGGTTGTTGCGGTGAGGGCAGAGCGGAGCGGGCTGGGGAGCCGCGTGTCGTGGAAAGGGCAGGGAGGTCTGTGTGAGTGTCGGGGTGACGTCAAGGATCAGTGTGTGTATCTGGAGGGGTGTTGCGGTGCCTGTGTGAGTGTCAGGGTGACGTCAAGGATCGGCGTGTGTATCGGCGGGGTTGTTGCGGTGAGGGCAGAGCAGAGCGGGCTGGGGAGCCGCGTGTCGTGGAAAGGGCAGGGAGGTCTGTGTGAGTGTTGGGGTGACGTCAAGGATCAGTGTGTGTATCTGGAGGGGTGTTGCGGTGCCTGTGTGTGTGTCGGGGTGACGTCAAGGATCGGCGTGTGTATCGGCGGGGTTGTTGCGGTGCCTCTGTGAGTGTCAGGGTGACGTCGAGGATCGGCGTGTGTATCGACGGGGTTGTTGCGGTGAGGGCAGAGCGGAGCGGGCTGGGGAGCCGCGTGTCGTGGAAAGGGCAGGGAGGTCTGTGTGTGTGTCGGGGTGACGTCCAGGATCGGCGTGTGTATCGGCAGGGTTGTTGCGGTGAGGGCAGAGTGGAGCGGGCTGGGGAACCGCGTGTCGTGGAAAAGGCAGGGAGGTCTGTGTGAGTGTCGGGGTGACGTCAAGGATCGGCGTGTGTATCGGCGGGGTTGTTGCGGTGAGGGCAGAGCGGAGCGGGCTGGGGGGCCGCGTGTCGTGGAAAGGGCAGGGAAGTCTGTGTGAGCGTCAGGGTGACGTCGAGGATCGGCGTGTGTATCGGCGGGGTTGTTGCGGTGAGGGCAGAGCGGAGCGGGCTGGGGGGCCGCGTGTCGTGGAAAGGGCAGGGAAGTCTGTGTGAGCGTCAGGGTGACGTCGAGGATCGGCGTGTGTATCGGCGGGGTTGTTGCGGTGCCTGTGTGAGTGTCAGGGTGACGTCGAGGATCGGCGTGTGTATCGGCGGGGTTGTTGCGGTGAGGGCAGAGCGGAGCGGGCTGGGGGGCCGCGTGTCGTGGAAAGGGCAGGGAGGTCTGTGTGAGTGACTCTGCCAGGGTCCCCTCAGAGCAGGGCAGGCTGCCTCGCCAGGGCCACAGCAAGTTGGGGCACCTAAGTGACCAGGGCCAGGAGTGACTCGGGCACTGCCCACCATGGAGGAAGCGTTTCCCCTCTGCCCAGCCTGCCAGCTCGCGGCCTGGACTGGGGCCCCATGCCCACTCCCCGCCCTGGCCTTGGTGCCCTGAGCGGAGGCCGAGGAGCTGGGTCTGGCTGGGGGGCTGGATGCCCCCCGGGGATCCAGCCCCTGCCCACACCGCGCCTCCCCTGCCCGGGGGGGTGCCCACAATCGCAGCAGCTGGAGACGCCACGGTGACGGGCTGGAGACGAGAGCCTGGCCCGGTGCTGGGGGATGACACAAAGCTGAGGGAAAACTGTCTGTCCATCCTTCCCTCCCCCAAGGGACGAGCGCCCTTGGAAGCCCTCTGCCGCCTGCCAGCCCCAACTGGGGACCCCAGAGCAGACGCTGGTAGGGCAGGTGCGGCAGCCATTGATGCTTCTGCAGGGTAGGGGGGCTCAGCTGGGGCGTGTTCCCCTGTCAGGGCTGGCCCCAGTGTCCAGTGCGGCGCCAGGGGGCGTGGGGCTGCGGGGAACAGGGGCTGAGCAGGGCGTGCTCTCCCCTCTGTCAGGGCTGGCAGCACCAGGAGGTGCTGGGCTGCAGGGGTCAGGTTCTCTGCGGGGAGCCACAGCTGGGTTCCCCTTCGCTTCCTGCCCCACACTGTTGTGTGTCACAGACCTGCTGTGCCCCTCCCCAGAGGCAGCTGCCTCTCAGCGCTGGGGGGAGCCCAACAGCCCTGTGCAGTGGGCTGGGGCCAGACGCTGGGAGATGCGGCGATGCCAGGGCCCAGCCAGGACCTGGGGCTAGCACAGGGCTTGGGCAGGGTCCCCTGGGTGCCCTGTTCCTGCCTTCCCAGGTGCAGGGAGGCCCGGGCCACTTCCAGCTGTTGAGGCCCCAGCCATAACAAACAGAAAACCGAGGACACACAGTCTAGTGTCGTGCCATCACAACGATCTCTTTGTATCAACAGCGGTGCACATTGAACTCTCAATCGATGTCCGTTAACAAACCTGGCGTCGTTTACCAATCCCGTCTCTTCCTGGCTTCAGTGTGCAGCTCCACGCCGAGAGGGGCTCACAGTTTGGTCCCAGAGGGATGTGCATAAAAACAAGTTGCAAAACGTATCAAATGCCAAACAAATGAACCGGTGTCTCGAGGCCCAGGCCAAAGGGCCCCCCCTCCCCGATTGCCCAGCCGTCCCCAGGCAGAGCCGGGATTTGTCCCAATTTGGCGCGTCCCAGAGCCCGGTTAATTTTAGAGCCCGGAGCTGCTGCTTGGGTTGGTTCCTAGGTAACCGGCCCCCTGCTCCCCCGCAGCCCCCCCACACCCCCTGCCCAGCCCAGCTAAAAATGGAACAGGAAGGGAGAGACAGCAGCTCCCTCTTAAAGGGACAGCGCCGGCGGGCAGCCCAGGGAGCTAGGGATGACCCACTGACACCCCTAGCAAACACGCTGCCTCCTCCGTCCTCCTGCATGGGCTTGTGCTCCCCTTTCCACACACCCCACAACCCCCTCCCCTCGCCTGTCATGTCACATGCACCCCGTAACCTCCCCCTGTTGTGTGTCACATACAAACACGCACACACACTGACCCAGAGCAGATCCCTGCCCCGCCCCCAGGGGTGGGAGAGGAGCACTGCACTGTGCCTTTAAGGGGGGCTGCCCACAGTCCAGGCTGTGCGGGGCGGGGGGAGGGGAACCTGGACCTGGCCTGCCCCTCCCCAGCTGTGAGGGAGGAGCAGGGGAGGGACATAGGTTCACACGGCAGTTCCCAGGCTCACGTTGTCACGGACTCACAGATCATGCCCACTCTTGGCCCCGTGCGGTCCGCGGGGGGTTCCCCTTTCAGTGCGACAGCCCTTCTCGGGGGTCCACTCTCTCTCGGGGTCAGGCCCCTCCACCTCCTGGAGCCGCACCTCTCTGAGCCGTAGCACGTCTGTCTCTGCCGTGGGCCCCCTCGGGGAGTCCCCTCGCTCTGGACCCCCAGCGCCTCCGCCCCCCGAAGGGGTTGATGTCACGCTGTTCTCTAGACCGGAGTGACTCTCAGCCAGCATAACACAGGAGGGGTTATTGAGCGTTGAACCCAACACAGGAAACTCTCCGGGCCTCAGGCCTGGCCTCCCTCAGCCCAGCACATCCCAGTCTCTCTGCATCCAGGTGGGCTCTGCCTGCTCCCCCTCTCCAGCCCAGAGCCCCCCTGCTTCCCCGCTGGGCATCTGATACCCCCGGCCCCAAGCCCAGCCTCTGTCCATTGTCTTCTCTCCAGGTAAACAGGGTCTCAAACAGAGTCGCCTGGGCCTCCTCTCCCCTCTTCTGTCCTCTGGCCCCTCTGGCTGGAACTGGCTGGTCAGGTCACTGGGGTCCTCTCTCCGCAGCCCATTGTCCTCCCACTGGCAGGAACCGGCTGTGACTCCTGAGTGGGGCCTCCTGGTCGTCAGGTCACCGGTCGCTGGGGTATCCGTCCTCCAGGCCATTGGCTGGGGTCCCAAGTTCCCTCTCCGGTCCCCTGTAACAATAAACTCCCTCTCCCCTCACCTCTTTAAACCAGTAACACCCAAGGACACTGAGTCCCACCCCCTCTGCATGCAACCATTGGAAAAACACGGAAAAAACAAGAAAATCCCCCACTTCATCACATCGGTTCACACGTGGCTGCTCAGGTTCACACGCAGCAGCCCAGGCTCACATGCGGGTGCCCAGGTTCACACGCTGGTGCCCAGGCTCACATGCGGGTGCCCAGGTTCACACGCTGGTGCCCAGGCTCACACACGCTTACGCAGGAACACCTGCGTGGGCACCTCTGCCCACACAGACACACCCCCTGCCACTCACACATACCTCCGCGATGGCTGACACCGCTGTGACATCCATCCGTGCACATCCAGCCAGGGCCCCGGGGCAGGCACACGCCTATGCTGCTGCTGGGGTTCCCTGCACAACTGCTCCACACACTGGTGCAGGGACACACACTCGCTGCCCTGTGCTGATGCACACACACGCCTGCTCTCCTCTCCGGGTCCAGCTGGCCCCCTTAGCCGCTGGGATGGCACCAGCCCCATCTGATCCAAGCACACCCATGCCAGGGAGCTCCCCGGCCCCGGCCCCTGCCCTGCCACCCCGCCGGCCCCACTACCAGCCTTGCCCCGCCTCGCCTCGCCTCGCCAGCCCCTTGGGCTCACTCAGACTCTGCACAAGGGTTGCCCTAGACACCCCTGTTCCTGGGGCTGCGGCCCTGCCCCCGCGGCCAGCAGCTCTGCTTAGACACCCATGAGCCATCCCTGTCCCCAGGGGCAGGACAGGCCTCCCTTTGCTCCCCAGCATCACGGACAGTCCCAAGACAGCTGGGTGGCTCCCTCTTGAGGGCTGGGGGTAGCCCGGTGAGGTGCCGGGGGAGCTGCATACTGCTGGGTGAGGTGGCACTCAGGGGCTCCTGCTGCCCTGGGGGCTCTGGGCTGCGTGTGGGCAGGAGCCCCGGCTGTCTCGGGGTTAATGGGCAGGGGAGGGGGTGCCCAGGCTCTGGCTGGGTCCGGCCCGCGCGCCCGCTGGCTCTTTGTTGCTGGGAGAGCAGGGCAGGCTGGGTAAAATTTCCGCCCCAATAATTTTCCTCTCCACTCGGTGCGGCTCCCTCGCTCCCTCGCTGGCTGGCAGCTCTGTCACTCGCTCCGTCCTCTCTCCTGCCTGGGTCCCTGCTCTCCACGGACGTCCATGCCCCTTCCCCAGGGTGCCCACAGGCAGGAGCTGCCCACTGCAGGTTCTGCACAGGGGCAGCAGGACGGCAGTGTGGTGGCTCCCCGGTGCCCCATGGGTGGCCCACGGGCATGTGGCTTGGGGTGAGCCTGGACGCCGCACCATGGGCTCAGCGTGGTACACAGGGCGGCCGTGAGGATGCTGGCTTCTCTCCTGCAGCTGCTCCAGGAGTTCTCAGGCACCCCCAGCACCACCCCCCAGGCCAGAGCGGGACCCATGCCTGGCATCTCCTTGTGTGGCACCTGCCTCTGCCTGGATAACGATGCGCCCTGCGGAGCCGGGCAGGGCCGGGAGGAGAAGGTACAGACTGTTCCCAGACTGGAGGGGCTGGCGTGGGCTCCCTCTGCTGCCAGGCAGCACTCAATAAGCTGGGTCTGGGAGCTGAGCCAGGCCTGGGCAGCCTGTCCCCTCTGGGGCCTCCGATCCCGCCCGGGGATGGGGTCTGGCTGGTCAGGGGGGCGGGGCATGGGGCATATGGCCTGTCCCCTCTGGGGCCTCCGATCCCGCCCGGGGATGGGGTCTGGCTGGTCAGGGGGGTGGGGCATGGGGCATATGGCCTGTCCGCTCTGGGGGCTCCGATCCCGCCCGGGGATGGGGTCTGGCTGGTGGTGGGGGTGAGGAATGGGGCATAGGGCCTGTCCCCTCTGGGGGCTCCGATCCCGCCCGGGGATGGGTTCTGGCCAGTCGGGGTGGGGGGAGCAGGGTATGGGGCGCGGGGCCTGTCCCCTCTATGGGGGCGCTGGCTCCCATCTGGGGCGAGGGGCGTTGCCCCCAGCTGGTCTCCCCGCAGGGGGTTGCCCTGGGGATGGACAGGCTCTGCCTGCTCAGTGCAGCCCTGGGCCAGGGCCTGAGCCCTGTGGGATGGTGGGATCAGGGATGAGAGCGCCCCCTGCTGCTCAGAGGCAGGAGAACCTGGTGCTGACTTGGGGGGCTGGAGGGAGGGTGAAGTCTCTGTGTCTGCTGAGAGTGGGAGCTGGAATGTACCCCAAGGCTCCCGGACGCCGAGGTTCCATCTCAAATGGTGCTGCTGCTGCGGTGGGTTTACATGGGCCCAGATCAGGCATCTTGCTGGACTTCCGGCTGCATGTGGCTGGACTCACGTCGTCAGGGCAGGGGAGCCCTGTGGGATTGGGGGTGCCACCTCTGTGCTGGGGGAGGGGACCCCACTGTAGGGCTCTGCACCGGGGGGAGGGGTACCTCCCCTGTAGTGCTCTGTGCCGAGGGAGGGGAACCCCATAGAGCTCTGTGCCGGGGGAGGGGACCCCGCTGTAGGGCTTTGTGCTGGGGGAGGGGAACCCCCCCATAGGGCTCTGTGCTGGGGGGGGACCCCCCTGTAGGGTTCTGTGCCGGGGAGGGGACCCCGCTGTAGGGCTCTGTGCTGGGGGAGGGGACCCCACTGTAGGGCTTTGTGCTGGGGGGGAGGGGAACCCGCCCATAGGGCTCTGTGCTGGGGGAGGGGACCCCACTGTAGGGCTTTGTGCTGGGGGGGAGGGGAACCCGCCCAT